AGGTGTAGTGATGTACACCTGAAATTTTTACAATGTTGTAAACCAATGTTACTCAATAAACAAAAAATTTAAAAAGAACTTCCAGTCTGCATTTTTATTTTTTTTATTTTTTATTTTTTTGTGAGGAAGACTGGCCCTGAGCTAACATCCATGCCAATCCTCCTCTTTTTGCTGAGGAAGACTGGCCGTGGGCTAACATCCGTGCCCATCTTCTGCCACTTTTTATATGGGATGCTGCCACAGCATGGCCTGACAAGCAGTGCGTCGGTGAGCGCCCAGGATCCGAACCCGGGCCGCCAGCAGCGGAGCTCGCACACTTAACCGCTACGCCACAGGGCCGGCCCCAGTCTGCATCTTTAAAAGTGCCTTGCTCTTTAAAAACAAGCCACAAAGGACATCCAAATATTTGAGGAAAGCCTCTAACCTAACAGATGAGAGTGAATCAACAGAAAAAAGGAATAAGAGAAATAGAAACAATGTAGAGAGCAAGAAAAAAACTTCAAAAATTATAATAAAGATCATTAAAGAGATGAAGAAAGATAATCCATTCATAAAACAAGAATAGGATGCTATAAAAAAGAACATTCAGAGGAAATTAAAAATTCAATACAAGTGTTAGAAAATCAATTTGAAAAATTCTCCTGGGAAAGCAGAACAAAAAAACTAAAGAAACAGGAAAGAGAAAAAGAAAAAAGATAAAACCAATCAAACCAGGAAGTCCAATAACCAACTAACAGGAGTTCCAGAAAGAACAAACTAAGAAAATGGATATGAAGAAATTATTACAGAAATAATAAAAGAAAATTTCCCTGAGCTGAGGTTGACGAATTTCCAGACTGAAAAGGCTCATGAAGTGCCAGAATAATAAATGAAAAACAGACAGAGACAAAGACAAAGGCAAATCATCAAGAAATTTAAGGATACTGGAAAAAGGAAAAGATCTTAAACACTGTCAGAGAAATAAAAATGTCACATCCAAAGGGTAGGGAATCTGAATGTCATTGGACTTCTTAATGCAACACTAGAAACTAGAAGAAATGAAGCTGTGACTTAAAAACTCTGAGGGAAAATTATCTCCAACCCAGAATGTGATATTTAGCCCAAACCATCAATCAGTACGAGGGTAGAATTTTCAGATTTACATGGTCTCAAAAAATTTACCTCCTTCGAAACCTGTGTTAGGAAGGTACTAAAAGGTATATACTACATCAAAATTAAAGTGTCAACTGTGAAAGAGGAAAAGATCCAGAAAACCAAAAACTAGCAAAGCAGAGAGGCAAAAGAAATTGTCAGGGTGATAATGAAAGGAAGTTCCAGGAGAAGAGCTGTGCAGCAGCCTAGAAAACAACCAGGCAGAAAGACACAGGGGACACAGGGCTCCAGGAAGAACATCCCCAAGAAAAGCAAGAAACAGAGAAAATACCTGGTGTGTTTGTCTACAATGGGAGAAATTTTACAGGTTTGTAAGAAAGTTTGAGGATGACTTAGCTACAGGTACGCAGAAAACCAAGCAAGTGAAAAAAATCAGACAACTCCAAGAAAAACAAAGTTGTACAGGAAAGGGAATTTCATAGTAGGGTATCTCAGCAATGAAAACAAAGTAAGTTGTCATAATAAAGTAAATATTGAATATTAACCTAACCAAAAATTATGAAATAACATGTGGAACAAGAGAGGGTAACGTGGCAGGGGAAGTCTGTAAGTGTGCGCACGCATGTGTGTGCATTGATGGGGGTGGCATAAGAGAGTAAAAAATCCTCATCTTCCATAGAAGGATGACAAAAATAAAGCATAAGGCAAAAGTCAAGAAATAACAGTCAAATCATATCACAGTCATGCATTGCTTAACAATGGGGATACGTTCTGAGAAATGTGTCGTTACACGATTTCGTCGTTATACCAACATCATAGGGTGTACTTACACAAACCTAGATGGTATAGCCTACGGCACACCTAGGCTACCTGGTACTAATTTTATGGGACCACCGTCATATACGTGGTCCGTCGTTGACTGAAACGTTGTTATGCAGCACATGACTGTATTTAGAAATTAGAGGTAAATATCAGAAGAATCAGCTAACGAGATGAAAGCAGTTGCCTCTGGAAAGTAGGGCTGAGAAGTAGGAAGGTGAATAGCAGGCAACTCTACTTCTTGTTATAAACCTTGAGGAACCACTTGGTTTTTAAACCATATGAACGCGTTACTTTGAGAAAAGCAAAAATTTAAAACAAAAAACCTCAATCTGAAGCAAACATTGCAAAATCTGTCAGACTGGGTTGGTGGGTATTCTGGGCATTCATGTTATTCTCCACTCTTATGTTTAAAATAATTCCTGGGGCCGGCCCTGTGGCTTGGTGGTTAAGTGCGCGCGCTGCGATGCTGGTGGCCCGGGTTCGGATCCCGGGTGCGCATCGAGGCACCACTTCTCCGTTCATCCTGAGGCCAGTCCCACATACAGCAACTAGAAGGATGTGCAGCTACGACACACAACTATCCACTGGGGCTTTGGGGGGAAAAAATAAAATAAATAAAATCTTTAAAAAAAAATAAAAAAAATAAAAAAATAAAATAAAATAATTCCTATTTTTTAAAGTTCTCTTTCAGTTCTAGAAATTCCATTAATTTGTCATTCAATATAACATAAGTTGTCCCTATTATGTGGAAGACGAAGAGCATAAAAAAAATAAAATACAGTGTTCTTTATGTTCAAGATAAAAAACTGTGGTTTCTATAGTTTAAAAAAATCTTAAATCAGAATTACTTTTCTCAAAAAGGAAAGGTTCTTTGATTTTTATTTTCAAATATTTAATAATATTATTTTTTAAAATACCTTGAAAGAAAGTTTTATTTGATATATCAAAAGAAAAGTTCCAAGACATGACAAACATACAAGTGGGGAAAAAACAATCTTCAGAATAACATGTATGAGTTCATTTATGTAAAACAAAACCAAACAAAAAAGACTCAACTGCTTCATACCTGTTTATATGAACAAATATATACAAAAATGTATGCAAAAAGACCTGGAAAAATATATGCCACACCATCAATAAGGTTACCTCTGGGGAGGCAAATGGGATTGGGGATGGAAAGAAGGTAATCTGAGAGTTTATTTTCACTTGTTTCTGATTGGTAATTAATATGCATAGTAAGAATTTCAAATGGCAAAAAAGACATACATGGTGAAGACAAGTCCCTCTCCCACGTCAGCCCGTGGTTCCCTTCTCCAAAGGCAGCCTCCTATTACTAGTCTCTTGCGTTACCTTTTAGCATTATTCCAAATATAGAGAAGAATATGTTTATATACAAAACTTACCTTTTTTTTTTTGGTGAGGAAGACTGGCCGTGAGCTAACATCTGTTGCCAATTCTCCTCTTTTTGATTAAGGAAGATTGTCCCTGAGCTAATATCTGTGCCAATCTTCCTCTATTTTGTATGTGGGACCCCGCCACAGCATGGCTTGATGAGCGGTGTGTATGTTCGCACCTGGGATCTGAACCGGCGAACCTCGGGCCGCCGAAGCAGAGGACGTGAATTTAACCACTATACCACCAGGCCGGCCCCCAAAACTTACTTTTTAAAATATAAATATTATCACACTAGTCCTACCGCTCTACCTCTACTTTTTCCCTTAAAATAGCTCCTGCCTTAGAAACGACATACATTTTATTTTTCACATAGAGTTTACCTCCAGTCGGCCTTGCTGGATTTTATACACCACTTGGGGATTCTCCTGCAGTATGTTGCCATAGAGCTCACGAAAGTGGGCTATGTTGGGCTTCACAATATTCAACACTTTTGTCTTATCCTCTCCAACCACCATCCGAAAGTCACCTGGTTAAAACAAACGGGAAAACAAATTTTCCATTGAGAATCCACATTCTGATCTGTGAACTACAGCCCCTACACTGATTTCCGCACTAGTTGCACCTGGCAGCATCCCTCATTCAAGACAGTTGTTTTTCCTCACTAAAACCGTGAAGACATTACCCAAGGAATGCAGGAACTTGTTTGGGGGGAAAGAGAGCCTCTTGAATCACAAAGTCTCTTATGTCAGTTAAAATATCGTTACCTATCTACAAAAGATAATCCTCACTGAGAAGCTAATTTGTGTTTGTTTTTCCAATGCAGAAGCTTCTGTATTTATAAACTTTCATCCTGTGAACAAAACTCTGTCTGCGACCAATCACAGAGATGGGGGTTGTGTGTATCATCTTGGGCGTGTCCTTGCTACTGCTTACTCAGCTTGGCCCTGCCTGCTGTGTTTGCATGAGGGCTTTTGAGGTGCTTTATGAATATAAACAACCTTATTATATTTGATAAGGACAAGAGCAATTAGTGTTAAAGGTCCTAGGAAGAAGAGGTTTACATAAGAAGTTTACATTTAAGATGAACTTGAAAGCAGATATAATTTTAAAAACTGCAAATGGTGAGAAATGAGGGAACTTTAAGTTTGCCTGTGGGATGAATTGAGCTGCAAAATAAATAATTCTGAATGACAAAGAGCAACTTTTGAAACAAATTTAAAGTGCCCTGCCTTGCCTTTGCCACTGACAATCATCAGCAAGATATGGGGGGAAAAGAGTGAGAAAACTAGAGTGAATGCCTATTGTGTTAATGTTAATTCACAAGAGGCTGGGCCTGTGTGAGGACCTCCCAGGTGAAGCCTGGGGACAGCAATGTGGCTGAAAGCTTTGTTGGACAGACAGAAAGTGGTCCAGGGAGTAGTGAGGTGGCAAGTGTAGGCAGATACCCCAGCTGCTGAAGAATGCCCTGGGACAAGGTGACAATACAATTTATCATCCAAACTCGGTCACTTTTGAGGGTGAAGGGGGCACTACGAATAATTACACCAGGAAAAGTATAAACTGGGCAATCCAGGACACATGGTTACCCTTGCTGATTTCTTTTCTCTGGAGGGGGGAAGGGATCACTGAGATTATTACCTGCTACAACAGATTTTCCCAGAACAAACTGTTGGATTGTTCTGGAAAAACAAAAAGATACTCAAAAGTATGCACTTCAACAAGGAATAAACTACGCTGGGTTCTTAAACTTCCAAGGACCAACTTATACACAATTTGGTGGAAAGCAGCTGGGGACTGCAACTTCAGAAACAGGGCCTTAAAAACAGCCCCTGGAGGGGTGTCGGCCCCATGGCTTAGCGGTTAAGTGTGCGTGCTCCGCTGCTGGCGGCCTGGGTTCAGATCCTGGGCGCACACCTACGCACCGCTTTGTCCGGCCATGCTGAGACGGCGTCCCACACACAGCAACTAGAAGGATGTACAACTATGACATACAACTATCTCCTGGGGCTTTGGGGAGAAAAAGGGAAAAAAAGGAGGAGGATTGGCAATAGATGTTAGCTCAGGGCCAGTCTTTCTCAGCAAAAAGAGGAGGATTAGCATGGATGTTAGCTCAGGGCTGATCTTCCTCACACACACACAAAAAAAAACAGCCCCTGGAACACCCAACCTTTGTGACACGAGGTCCAGCTGTTCTGGCAGTGAGCAGAAGTGAGTCCCGGTCATAACAAGCTGCTCAAATATGGATGAACTTATTGTTTCACTCTTATTTTAAAGGGAGAGTTCCATAGTTACACCCTGGGATGACTGCTAGTGAGGGTGTAGAGAAATTGGTCCTTGCACATAATGCTGTGTGCATTGACATCATTTGTGTGTGTGTGTGTGTGTGAGGAAGATCGGCCCTGAGCTAACATCTGCCAATCCTCCTCTTTTTGCTGAGGAAGACTGGCCCTGGGCTAACATCCATGCCCACCTTCCTCCACTTTATATGGGATGCTGCCACAGCATGGCTTGACAAGCGGTGTGTTGGTGCGTGCCCAGGATCCGAACCGGTGAACCCCGGGCCACCGCAGTGGAGCACGCGCACTTAACCACTGCACCACCCAGCCGGCCCTTGTTGACATCATTAACTGTTAAAATCCTTCTGGAAAGCAGGGAAAGAAGAAACTTCATCCCTGGAGAGAAGCCCGAAAAAACAAACCCAAACAGAGGTGAAGAGGCAACGTTCACTGAGCATCTGGTAAGTGCCAGGCACTTCCCAAGTGCTCTGTCATATTACCTCATTTAGTCCACACAACCATCCTCTCAGGTAGAGACTATCCTATCCCCATTTAGCATCAAGGCAACAAAGACACAGAGATGAAGTAACTGCCTAAGATTTCCCAGGAAGTAAATGAATACAGTACACACATACAACTGTTCACTGAAACACTATTTATAATACTGAAATATTGGAAGCAACCCAAATGTCCAACAGTAGGGGAATGGATAAGCTAGGATGGTACACCCATACTCTAACACAGTGTGTAAGAATAGTGTGCAACCATTAAAAATTATAGTAATCACACACAGCAAGACAGAAAATGATCATAGAATAATGTATAGTTAAGAAACCAGGAGGGCCGGCCCCGTGGCTTAGCGGTTATGTGCGTGTGCTCTGCTGCTGGCGGCCCGGGTTCGGATCCCGGGCATGCACTGACGCACCGCTTCCCTGGCCACGCTGAGGCCACGTCCCACATGGAGCAACTAGAAGGATGTGCAACTATGACATACAACTATCTACTGGGGCTTTGGGGGGGAAATAAATAAAATTAAAAAAATATATATTTTAAAAAGAAACCAGGATACAAAAGTACAACAAGAAAACAACTTTGTGAAAAAACAGGAAAAACAAGACAAAGGGACTATATAAAAATGGTTATTGGGGCCAGCCTGGTGGCACAGCAGTTAACTGCTTGTGCTCCAATTCGGTGGCCCAGGGCTCGCCGGTTCGGATCCCAGGCACGCACCAATGCACAGCTTGTCAAGCCATGCTGTGGCGGTGTCCAATATAAAGTAGAGGAAGATGGGCACACGTGTTAGCCCAGAGCCAATCTTCCTCAGCAAAAAGAGGAGGATTGGCATCGGATATTAGCTCAGGGCTGAGCTTCCTCACAAGAAAAAAAAAAAAAGGTTATTGTTTGCTCTAATAAGATACACACTTATTGTGCCTTTTTTATGTGTGTGTGCTTTACATCTGTTATCTCGTTTAGTGCTGGCAAAGCCTCATAAAGAAGGTACTAATGATTCCCAATTTTACAGATGAGATGAGGTGCAAAGATAACCTGCCCAAGGTCCAGCCACTCTCTCAGCATCAGGGTAGTGACCTTGTAGGTGACTAGTTTTACTCTACTTTGTCATTTCCCTCACTTCTGTAATAGTGGCATATTACTTCCAGCATTTTAAATAAATTCACAGGGAGCATAGACATGATGTCTTGGCAAATTTGAATGGAGAGGCAGCTGGGTTAACTTTCAGTTGAGTAAATCCTGACGCTTTTATTTAGAGCCTATAAATGGATTCCATGAATCCCTGAAGGGATGAAATGTCATCCAACTCAGAATCAAACCTGGCTGGCTCTGAAGTGAAAGATCAGTTTGCAGCACTGTTGGTCTAAATATTTGGGTCATTTCTCCTCTTTCTATACATTCAACAAACAAAATGTTCTTATATTTTAGATAGTAACTTTATGAGAGAGGGACTGTATTTTACCAAAATGTAAAAGCAAACCAATCCAAATCCTCCCCAAAAGAACGAGCCATGATTGAAGGACCTGGAAAATACTACGGACTCTCCGAGAACAAGGACTCGGACTTATTCACCTCTGCATGCCCAGCTCCTGTGCACTGCGTGGCACACGGAAGGCACGTCAATAAATGTCTGCTGAATTGAATTTCTCCAACTGCTATGCAGTAGACCAGCTCAGCGACAGGAAATAGCAAGCAAACGGGCTTATTACCCTTTTCTTCAGAACAAAATGAATAAAATCGTGGGCACAGCATGAACCAGCAACTGATCATAACAATGAATTTTTCTTACCTCCAGAGACATGTTTGCAAAAAAACACAGGGATTGAGAAAAAGCAACTGGTGACTTTTATTTTATGCCTCTACTGATGGATTTAATTCTTGACTGCTCAAGCCAGAGAACCGCCAATCTAATACAATGGGTAACCAAAAGGGTAATTTCTTTTGACTTTGAAATGACACAAACTCAGAGGCTTGGAAACTATCTGTAGTTGGCCTGTTCTGTGATTCTGGCACGCCACCAGTGGTCAGGGACCTTATTATGAACACGGGGATGTGAGGGGATGCACAGTCAGTGGAAAGGCTTTCAAGTCTGGCAATGTCCTAGGCTGAGTTACTTAACCTTTCTGAGTCAGTTTCCTTATCTGTAAAACAGCTGTAACAATCATACTAACCCCACAAGGTTGCTTTTAGATTGAAACGAGTAAAGTATTAAAGAATGCTTTGTAAACAGTAAAGCAGATGGGATGGGCAAAAGATGGAGGGTACAGGAAGCCCTGAGTCTTTGAAGACGATGACTGGCTAACTCTTCCCCTCTTAAACTAACTGAAATAATGCTGTCATTTCAGTTCAATAAATACTTGGGTGGCTACTACGTTCTAAGAGCTGTGCTAGACAATGGAGATACAAAGATATAGGCCCCACCTCAGGCAGCAAGTGACATGAAAACAGATCATTTCAGTGCAGGTTACAGAAGTGGGTATTTCTTATGTGGTAGTGTTTAAGAACAGTAGCCCAAACTGGATGTTGATATGGCAAAATAATAGTCATTTTTAACAGCTTTTTTTTGAGATATAACTCATATACCATACAATTCACCCATGTAAAGTATATTCAATGTTTTTTAGTGTATTTACAGGGTTATGCAACCATCTAATTTTAGAACATTTAAGCCTCCCTAAAAGAAATCCTGTACCTATTAGCATTCACTTCCCATCTCCCTCCATCCTGCCACCCCTAGCCC